GCCGACTGCTTGACAGACCGCCTGTAAATACTTGATCATGGCCGGATGGGTCGCTTCGTATTCGCCATTGTACTGACTCACTATTAATTGTGAATCGGAACAGGCGTCTATTTTTCTTGCCCCTGCCGCCTTGCACATGCGGATTCCAGCTAGTAAAGCTTCATATTCTGCCTCATTGTTTGAAGCCTGAAAACTGAAGCGTAAAGCATACTCGTACCTGTCGCCCTCTGGCGACTGACATATGACGCCTGCTCCACAACCATTTGAAGTAGAGCTTCCGTCCACATATACCTTCCAGACTTGGTCTGGAACTTGAGAGTCAGGAGGACGAGTCATCTCAACAATAAAATCAGCAAAGGCTTGCCCCTTCACTGCTTTTCTAGGCTCAAATGTAACTTCGAGGCTCTGTATTTCGATGGCCCATTTGATCATTCGGCCTGACGACTCCATGATGGTCAGTGGCCGCTTGATAGGTTGGTCTGTATACACGACGACTGCATGTGCCAAAAAGTAGGGCTTCAATTTTTTAACAGCCATGAAGAGTGCAAGACCAAATTTCTCCACTAGGGGATACCTCAACTCGGCATTTTTCAGTACGTGACTGACAAAGTAGACCGGGAGCTGACAACCGTCTCTCTCAGCAAGGAGAACAGCGCTTAACGCATGATCAGAGACGGCCAGGTACATGTAGAGTACTTCTTTGGGCAAAGGGCTGACCAGCCTCGGCAAGGAATGCAAGTGAATTTTCAATTTCTGGAAGGCGGCCTCAGCATCCGTCCCCCATTCAAACCTCGCCTTTTTCTTGATTGCCTGGAAAAAGTATAGGCATTTGTCGCCTGATCGGCTTAGAAATCTTCCTAAGGCCGCCAGACAACCTGTTAACTTCTGAACCTCTCGGATGGTACGAGGCGACTGCATGTCAATGACCGCCTGCACCTTTTCAGGGTTCGCCTCTATTCCTCTCTGATTGATAAGGAATCCGAGAAATTTCCCAGACTCAACTCCAAATACACATTTCTTGGGATTGAGCATGACATGGTGCCGCCTGAGTGTGGCGAAAGTTTCACGGAGGTCCGACAGATGATCTTTCTGAAGTTTAGTCTTGACAATCATATCATCAATATATGCCTCGACATTTCTCCCAATTTGATCAAAGAACACAGTGTTTATCATACGTTGGAAGGTGGCCGGGGCATTCTTAAGACCAAACGGCATGACCGTGTAACAGTATAACCCCTGATCAGTGACGAAGGCCGTCTTCTCCTGATCTTTCTTCCATAAAGGAATTTGATGGAAACCAGAGTAGGCGTCCATAAATCTCATCAAAGCATGGCCGGCTGTTGAGTCGACCAGGCTATCAATTTTAGGCAGAGGGTAACTGTCTTTGGGGCACGCCTTATTCAAGTCTGTGTAGTCTACACACATTCGCCAGGTACCATTCGGCTTTTTAACAAGAACCACATTTGCAACCCAGCCTGGGAAGTAACATTGCCGAATGAACCCTGCATCAAGTAATTTTTTAACTTCGTCGGCTGCTGCCTGACTTCTTTCTTCGCCATGGTTCCGCTTCTTTTGCCGTACCGGCTTCTTTTTCGGATCCACGGCCAGTTTATGTACCGCCAGCTCAGGACTAATGCCTGGCATTTCATGGACTTCGAATGCAAAGATGTCCTTGTATTCTTTCAACAGATTGTGAAAGTCATCACCTAGGACCCCTAGAGCAGTCGTCCCAACTTTGACTGTTCTGTCAGGACGCGAGACATCTAAGATTAGGTCCGTATGCTCACCAGCCGGCTGAGGGCGGAATTCACCCGACCGCTCCTTTGCCAATGATTGCTATTTTTTATCTTTTCTTGCTGCCCCCATCTGGGATGCCTTTCTTTTCTTGCCGCCTGCTTCTTGATCAGGCGCATTGTCCTTGACATTGTCAATCTTTCCTCCACTGGACCCAGCGGCCATAACAGTGGGCTTGACATCCGAGAGATAGCACTCTCGTGCCATCCTCTGATCTCCCCTTAGGGAGCCGACTGTTCCATTGTCCCTCTCAAACTTGAGCAACATAAGAGATGGGATTATTACAGCCTTGGAATTATTCAGGGTTGGTCGTCCCAGAATCATGTTGTAGGCCGAGAGTTCTTCTACCACCAGGAACCGGACTACCATGTGTCGTCCTTCCCCTTTTTCACCCAGGCGGATTGGTAGATCTACTCGTCCTACAGGGTGGACGACTCCTCCTCCAAACCCTACTAAAGGGTGGGAGGCCGGATGTATACAGTCAGTTTTGTACTTCAATTTTGATAGACATCTGCTACTGATAAGATCTGAGGAGCTTCCAGTATCTATTAGAATTCGGCCAACTCTTTGATTGGCCACTTTACATTCAATGACGATAGGGTCGTCATGCGGCCCCCTGATCCCTCCTAGATCTTCTTCAGTAATGACAATCTCAGGAAATGAATTTTTGGAGGGTTGTTCTGGGTGAACAGAATTTACATCTAGCCGCCTGATATTGTCTTTGTTGCCCCTAATAGTGGGACCTCCTCCTGCGAAGCCGCCTGCAATAGTGTAGACGACTGCATCATCTGTATCAGAGCTGTCCGCCTGTTGATTCTTTTTGGCCGACTGCTTTTTTGAGGAAGTGTTCCCCGTAGATTTCTTGACATAAGTGTCAAGATCACCTTGCTCAGCCAGGCGGTCCAGATACCGCATGAGACTGATGCATTTGCTGGTGTGATGACCAACGTCTTCATGATAATCACAGAATTTATCTTGGTTCCGGTTGCTTGCAGAACCCTTCATGGGGACCGGCTTCTCAATAGAGATCCGTCCCTTGATTTCTTTTAGGATAGTTTGGGTATCCTTGCTAAACGCATACTTTGGGGAGTATGGTTTGAATTCTTTTTTCTTCTTCAGGGCCGGCTGTTTAGAGGAATCAGCCGCCCAGACCTCTTTTCTCTTCTTTTCTTTGTTTGACGACTGTATCTGTCGTCCTTCTTTTCTGTCGAACTTTTTCCCGTCCGACTGTTTCACTGTACTACAAAGATCAGTTGCCTGTATATAGGCTTCTGCTTCAATCAAAGCCTCCTGAAGAGTCGCCACCCTCTTTCGAACCAGATCAAATTTGAAGGTCGACCCGTCTTTGAGACCCCTGAAAAAGTCAGTATAAGCTACCTCATCCGGTAACCCTTGAATCTGTATTCTCATCAGGTTAAACCGCCTGATGTAAGAACGAAGCCCCTCCTTCTCGCCCTGCTGAATTGTTCCCAAATCAAGGGTCGTTTTCTTCGCAGGGATGTTCATGGCGAAGTTGGAGGTGAACAAGTAAGCAAGCGTCCTGAAGTTGTTTACACAACCAGTCGGCAGGTTGCCGAACCATTGCTGTGCAATTCCTTTGAGAGTCGCTGGAAAACACTTGCACCAAGTGGGATCATCCAACCCTTGTAGGTACATTAGGTTGGAGAATGCCATCAGATGATCTTCTGGGTGAGTAGTGCCATCATAGGCGCCTACTAACACATTTTTCACTTTGGTCGGCTGAGCGGCTTCAGTGATTTCCTTGGAGAAGGCCGACGGCTGTTCACCAAGTCTAAGCAACCGTAGCTGCCAGTCCAAAGGTTGGACATTTTTAGCTGCGTGTCCACCAAACGGAGGTGGCTGCATAAAATACTGTTGCTGTGGTACAAACGGTAGGTTTGGTACCGCCTGGTCGCTATGAAAGCCTGACTGACGGGGGGTGCCGCCTGACTGACTCTCATGATACGACTGGGTATGCCTCATCGAGGTATTTTGTAAACTTTCTTGAAAATTTGAAGTAGAGGCCGACTCTGACAGTCGGTCACTCTTCTTCTGTTCTAACAGCAGACGAGCGTCTGTGTATGTTTTCTTCGACCCGTCCGCCTGAATGTGACGAACAGGTTTCCTATTTCCTGGAGTAGGGAAACGGTAGTTCGTGAGGTCAAGGGCAGGCGGCTCCCACTTCCTGGATTTAGGATGAGGAGTTCCCTCTCGCCCTTGAACCGGCTTCCTCTTGCCTGAGGTGGAAGGTTTCTTAGCCGACTGTTCCTTGGCCGGAACAGGCTTCTTATTAAGCAACTCTTGAATTTCTCCCTTGAAGTCCCTCATGAAGGTCATGAGTTCGTTCCTTGTGACGGGAGCAGAACCATCAGTCGCCTGCTGCCGAACAGGCGGTATGCCTGTTGGCTCGCTTACAGTTTGAAAATGTTCCCGTTCCCTCCTTTCGGTCTGACGGGTATGTCGGGCCCTTAGGGTCCCGTCTGGAGTTGTGTGAGCTTCAACTTCAAGTTCATGGTCAGTATCATGGTCCGACTGGACTTGAGGGTCGTCTAGGGGACGCCTCTCTTCAAAAGTCGGTACAAACGTGGATGCCATCTCAGAAGTACTCTCCCCACAGACGGCGCCAAAATGTTTCGGGGTTTTCTGATGTCCTGCGGGAGAGTTACAACACCGAGACTGGAACCGGCCGCCTGTACCTGCAAAATAACGGAGACTCTTGGGAGCTCCGCCTCCAACGGTCAAGTTAGTACTTGTTTGAGGAGTAAAGTGCGGAAATTAAAGGGGGAAGATCTGGTTCCTCTAGGGAAGAAGTGATCAATGTGTTCAGACTTCTCCAGGTGAGAGTAATTAATTGCTCTTCTCTCTTTAATGAGGATTAATTAAGTATTTATAGTCTTGAGAAGCGTGCCACTCTCTAGGTTTAGGGTAAACCTAGGGCTGACTGGGCCTCTAAACAGGATTGGGCCTTGTTGGCCGGTTTTCCCATTTAGCATGGGTGGACACGTGACGTGTCTCGATTGGTCCGTAGAGGACGTATCTGTGATTGACACGTGGCAGGTCCTATTGGCCTACGTGAAGGACACGTGGCGGAACCTGGTTGGTCCACTCGTCAGACGGTGATTGGTGGATAAAAATCCCCTAATCAATATGTGTATTTTCTCGAGTAGTAATACACTTAAATACCGTAACTTCTGAAAGGACTCGTTGGTTAGGGCTAAGGGTGATGCAAGAAGTTCATCTAGTCGTATATTTGTATTTTATATGGAGAGTTAGCAGATAAGGCGCAAAACCAACAAAATGGCTTGGAGCCTTGCTCCTACTCTTTCAACATTTGCAATAGAAAATTCCTCATTCTTCATTACTTCCGCTACTTTTAATTCTTCAAGTTTACCCAAAACTCTTAATTTCTCTAAAAATTGTACACCCAACTCAAAGCAACCATGGAATTTCCCATTACACAAAAAACTTCATTCCTCTACACAACTAATTTGCAAGGCAGCTGAGTACAAATTCCCTGACCCAATTCCTGAATTTGCTGATACTGTAACTTCTTTAAACACTTCGAGTTTTTATTTTTGGTTGTATTTTTATGTTAACTGTTGTCTTATTTTCTTTAATTTAATTGGGGGTTTACAGGAGATAGAGAAATTCAAGACCCATTTACTGAGGAAGTTGTCAAACAAAGATATTTTTGGAGATAAAGTGGATGAAGTTGTAGAAATCTGCACTGAGGTAATTAACTCAATTAACAAACTGTTATTTTTGATTAAAAAGGTTGAAATTTGTGCTATTGATTATGAATGTTCATTAATTGAAAATTTTTCTTGGTAATTTAGGGTGACTACTTGGATTATTTTGGGTAGTTTAATTTTGTAAGATAATTTAAGGCATTGTTGTAGATTATTTGGAACAAATGAGCATGCTTTAGGTATTTACACTGCTCTTAAGTAGGATGAAAGAATATTAGAATAACTAGATTATCTGAACAAATAAAATTTTCTAAATTTGTTTATTTTTTCATACCAAAATTAAAAACAAAAAAAAATCCAAAACAAATAATACATCGAATATTAAAAAAAATTTAGAGCTCATACAAAAATTGAATGATGAAAGAAATACGCGAGGAAAAAAAATTAAATAATTATTATCAGAAATTGATACTAATAATAATATAACTGACTAGAAATAAAATAAAATAAAAATCATAAAATGATGATATCATATAGTTTTGGAGTGAAAAATTTCAATGACATTAGGACATGTGTTTAATTTAGGATAGGATGATGTTAGCGGTTGCTATTTTAACACCTACTTGTATTAGTTATAGATTTGGTCATTTGTTGTTGTGAAGGCATGCTGTGTGAATACATTTTCTTATTCAAAACCTTGAGGCAGATTGAAACTTATAGTATTCAATCAATAAGTTTTTTCATCATATCATTATATTCCAATTTGTATGCTACACATAAAGTGTGAATATGTAGGATTTCAAGCTGATGAATATTTCGGATGAATCGTTGGCATTAGTCTTTGTGTAAATGTATAATTTGTGCTTTTATGTGCGCTTGTATAGTTTACTGTTTTACTTTATGGAAGATGTTGATTCAGTGACTAGTTCAACCATTATCTGATTCAGTTGCTACAGATTTTACACGGTGCAACTTGCAAGATGTAATATTTATGTATAGTTAAAAGACAGGAAGAATGGTAGAGGAATTTCAAGCTAAGTACTATATAGTACTTCTGTAATCTTCGCCAGATGTGCACCATATGGAGACAGAAAGTATGAGATAACAATATAGAATCTAGGCACGAGATCTGACTGATGAAATACCTTGTAGAGTATTATTAGAAGACTATGGCCGATGATGCTGAAATATGCCCCAATTCTTTGGTTATCCAAGATTCCAAGAGATGATATATACTTCTCAAAGATAGGTTAAAATTTAAAGATCCAATCTTGGGTTTTTATAGATATCTGTATCATACATAGTGGTGTTTTGGGGTTTTCTGGTTACATGAAATAGAGTATGTTTGGATGATTTTGTGCACCTCTGAGATGGGGTTAAAAATAACTCAAGGTTATCCTGCTATACGCAATGAACACCTAGTAAATATCAATCTGGAATTCCAACACTGGATTTGCTTAGAAGCTCTTTCTGTTAATCCCTGTTTCACATGTATCCTGACTCTGAAGGATTATATGTTTCTGACATTGTGTACTTTCAATACTCGTTTAACAGTTCCTATGATGTGTTTTTAGTTTCATTTAAGTTATAATGTACTCATGCAAATAACTGCTTTCTTATAATGTCAACAGATCTTGGATAACTTCTTGCACACAGAATATGGGGGACCGGGTACTTTGCTAGTGATTCCTTTCATTGATATGGCTGATACTCTGAATGAACGCGGACTGCCTGGAGGACCTCAAGCTGCACGGATAGCTGTTAAGTGGGCTCAAAAAAATATAGACAAAGACTGGGAGGAATGGACAAGCGGGAATAGCAAGTAATGCGAGTAGTGACTATAGTGACCTCTGGGACCTGAATAAAAGTACAGTAATTTGAGATAGTTATAGGCAGGAAATTTTGAGATAGCTTTGTTATCAGAATATTTGAAATATGATACTATTCTTATGGAATGTAGAGCTTGTGGGTGAGGCATCAGGATCTGAGAAAAATTGGAAAATCAGATACTTCGTAATTATTTTTTTAATGACATTTAGCAATAGCTAGAATCACTAGCTATGATGTTCACTTTTATAATTATTTTTTACAGTATAAAGAATTCTGTCCAATCCCCTCACAAAATCACATGCTTTAAGTTTTAAGAGTGATCATGTTACTCTGTTCAATTTAAGAATGAACCAACTAAATGCAGGATTGCGCGTTGGATGTTCTCCTGCAAAATTTAACAGTTGATACAACATTTATAAATGAAAATTAAAAAGCCTTGTGAAACTTGGGAGTGGTGTTAATAGTCAAGCTAGATCAAATTAATAAGCTGGAGATAGTATTTTGCCTCAATCAGGCAGAAAGTCACTAACTTAAAAAAACAGAATTTCATTTTACACTAGGTTACTTTCAGATATTTTACCTCATTTACAAACAAAAAACTCTGCTGTGGTGTAGGCCGGCCTACCTTTCATTCCACTATTTACAACTTATACAAGTCAATCAACTAAAACAAGAAGTGAAAAAAAAAAGACAACTGTATAAAGGTGCAGTGATAAGGCACTAACTACTTTATGCAAACCCAACTAGATATCTGACTGAGGTCGCTCCAGAAGTTCTTCCCTGTCAATAAAACGCTCAAGCAACCCTGGTTCCTTCAAAACAAGACATTCCTTCTCCTTTCCGCACCAGTCATAGCGTCGTTTAGCAATGTAATCATAGACAGCATCCCTTACTGGAGTGGGAATTACCAAGAGGGAGCTCAGCGCTGAATAGGGAAATGGCAAGTATGACATAACTTTCAATGCAGCTGCAAACATATTCAAGCCCCGATGTTAGGACACTATTTGACATTGCTTACAGTAGCAGATAAATATAAACACCAACCCCGGAAAGCGATTAAGACAATAGAACTAGGTTACAAATTCAACCGAAGACCACCTCCAAATATTATCTCCAAAGTGACACATTAAAAACTTTTTAACTGGTCACCAAAATCACAAGAACCTGATAGGCTGATAGCATCACAATACAAGGGTCTACCATGCTTTTGTGTTTTCAAACCCCAAATTCTGAAGACTACTTTTATACTAGTTGTACAGACCAATTGAGACTTGAGACTTTGTTTCAAAGTCAAAAATCTAGTTGCCACAAACCATAATTACATAAATCTAATTCAACCAAGAGCAGAAATTTGATAAAGTAGGAATTTTTTTTTAATAATAAACCACAACTGGAGAAAAAACGAGTGAACGGGAAACAGATGGTATACGTATAACACTAGGAAGAATTCTACATATCGAAATGGAGATTAAAGTGACAAATTATTGGCTAGTTAAACAAGAGAACCAGTACAATAATAAATCAATAGTTCATATCTTATAAGATAAGGCTATATACTACAGGAAGAAGGTCCTAACCTGTGGAAGCTTGATGGTATTGGCCTAAACCTTCAACAAATATAAAGCGGCGAAGCACATCCTTTCTTTCCACACCACAAAGTTCCATATATGGTTCAGCAGTCTTAGACTGAAGGCAACAGAACTTAATCTTCTCATACTTATCAGCCTTGATAATCAGTTTCACACCTGCAAACAAATGAACAAGAACATTAATCCTGTTATGTAGTTCACCTAAAATAGACAAGTCACATTGATTTCAAGTAGGGTAACAAGTCCAATCAGATCGGTTTAGGTCACCTTTCGAGGCAAGCCCATGTTCAAGTGATTTTAGGTCACCTTTAGCAATAATTCTGACAAATTCTGTTTTGGGGGTTAGAATAATTTTGTTATCGAACTCGGGTTGAGTTTAATTTACAGATCGAGTCACCCTCTAGCAAGCCTAATGCCCATGTATGCATAGAAGAACAGTCAATAATTCAATAGGAAATGGTATTAGTTTCGGGTCACCAAGTGTCTTACTTGGTTATAAAATGTACAGTGTACACATTGATGCTTAGTCTGTGGGATGTAACATCACATTATGCAATTCTATCAAGTGCCGTCCTTTTGTCTAAATAATTCATTTTAATTCTGACAGTCAAACCAGCCAATACAACCCGCAAATAGCTATTATTCTGCTAATTGTCGGGCATTGCCTAATCTTATACCGGAAAACATATAACAGCTCCTTATCAATTGTAAAAGGTAAAACCAGAACCTAAATTTGCAATAAAGAAAGAGTAAATTGGGGAAACAAAGGAAAATGTGTAATTAGACAAATGACCAGTAAATTTCATCTCTTCAAACACCATTAAGGAAAATTCTAGGGAAAATTAGGACCAACATCCAAAAATAATCATCATAACAAATCAAAAAGAAATTAATCGAACAAGCAATTGCGTCAATTTCAATTCAAAACTAATTTAAAAGTTCTGAATTAAACTACAATTCCATTTCCATTTTTCTTAACTACATAAAATAGAATACCAAAATTGAAGAAAACATCAACTTTCCAGGTGAAGTGCGAGATATATGAGAGAGAATACCAGTGTGACAGAGACGACAAACGCCGTCAAAGACGACGACACGAGGCTGAAGAAGAGTGGGCATTACAGCAGGTTTAACGACGCTAACTGGAGGAATATGGAGGTCTTCATCATCGTCGTCGTCGGCGGCAAGATCAGACACTGCTCCCGCGGAGTATGACGACTGCGGCGGCGGAGGCGGTGGTGAAAGCTTCGAACTGAAGAAAATTGCCGGCGCCGACGCCGGCGAAGTTATCGGCGGTGGATAGGAATTGAGGGTGAGAGATCGAAGTAGAAGGTTACGCATTTGAACAAAGGTCATGTGGTCATACCCTTGATTTTGGAAAAACTCTGGAGAAAATGGAGGGAGAAACCAGAAATTAGGGGAAATTTAATGGAATGTTTCAATTTTCATTATTTTTGTTTAACAGAATTTATATGGCTTGCTTTGCTTGGTCTCCAAGTACAGCAACAAGGTTCTATTACTCACCCAGTCATTTAGTCGACACTATGTCAATTTGGGTTACTAGGTCGGATTTAGTTAGTACGGATTAGGTCGAGTAATGTCAAATTTGTATATGTATTAATATATGTGTCCACAAGAGTTGAGATATGAATCAAGTTTTTTAACACTGAAAATTCTAAGGTGATTAAGTAAAAAAATGATCACCATAAGCTATCCTATGTGGCAAAATATAGACCACAATAATAAAAAGTGTATTATTAAGATTATAGTTGGCGACTCCGGCCCCTCCTTCCCCCGCCGACGCGATCCTCCAAGCTCTCCCCTAAACCCTAACCCTGCCACATCCCCTACTTCCCTTCCCCCACCTCGAAACAGCCCCCCTCCCTTTCCCCCACCCAGAAACAACAAGGGAGGTCGTTTCGTGGTGGGGAAGGGAGAGGGTGCAGGGGGTTTAGGTTTTAGGGAGGGGTTAGGGGTCTTTGGTGAAAACCAGATGGCGAAATGGGGGAAAGGGAAGGGGGTAGGTCATCGTCGACGGGGGAGGGCGGTGGGTTAGCTTGCAGGGAAGGGATGGGTCACTGGCGGGGGGTGGGTTGTTGGTTGGTGGTCGCCGGCGTGGGTGGAAGGGGCTGGGTTTATGGTCGATTTTTGTTTTAAAAATTACTCCCTCCGTCCCATAATACTTGATATAGTTACCATTTCGGTCTGTCTCAAAATACTTGACACGTTATTAAATATGAAATGAGATCACTAATAAACAAATATTTTCCTATACTTTATTTGGGACCACAAACCCCAAAACTCAATTGTAGACACTTGATTGTGTTTCCCCAAAAACCAAACTCAGTGATGTGTACTTTTCACGTCTTTGATTATCGAGTTAGGTAAAGAGTTGAAGAGTCTCATGAATTTCCCTTTAGCCTTGACCATTTCCAATCTTTCCTTAAATGTTTTAAATCAAAATCATTTATTTCGTGTCTTTAAACCCAAAATCATTCATTTCGTGTCCAAACCTTAAAAACGTCCAAACCTGATCATTTGGGTCCATATTCTGGGTCCAATTATTGTGTAGTTAGATGGGGCTTGAAAAATATTTCCAACGATATATTATAAGCCCAAATCCGACTTAAAACGAATAAATTAGGACCAAAATACTAAACCAAACCCAAACCGAACCTAGGTCCACCTTACCTACGACCCAATGTTCATGTCAATCATGTGGAGGGTTCATTAACCTTAATCCCAATCCTAAATCAATTAGGATCCATTAGGAACTTCTAGAAGCCTCTAGAAGGTTTTAATCTATCCTTTTTGAAAGATAAAGATCAAAGAGTTTGAAATTGAATAAAACTCCTCTTTTTGAAAGTCCTTGTCCTATTCGAATTCAAAGATGCTCAGATATGATTTTCGTGCCTCATAATTTTTATCAAAATATTAGATGGTTGGATATGCCTTGAAATTATCTTTCCAATGATATATCATAATCCTAATTTCGAGTTATAACGCAAAAGATATGAACGAAATACCAAACTCTATCCAAAACTGACACTGTCCCACTATTTTGACCATATCTTTTATTCTACAAAATATTTTAATCTGATTTTAATTGGGTTGGAAATTAGACTTTAATATCTTTCCAACGATATAATATTTATCTTATTCCAACTTCTGGATCAAAAGTTATGATAAAACCAAAAATCGCAAAAACTATTGTCCTATCGCGCCGCGATGGTTTCGTCGCGCCGCAATGAAGAGAGTTTTATTCCGATTCAAATTCTAACTCTTTTATGATCTTTTGACGTTCTTTTTTTCTTATAAATAGAGGTCGTTTCACCCCATCTTCAATCATCAACAAGTTTGATCACCAACAATTATCATCTAATCCTCTCTTTAAGCTAAAAGTTTATTCTCTCTTTCTTTCTAGCCTTAACCTAAACACATCCCAACACCTTCTTGACATCACACATCTTACCTCCTTCACGAGTTTCGAATACTCCAAGCCAAGCTCGAAGTTGCCTTCGACCTCGACGTGAAAGGTGATAGTTCTGAGGCTTTGGTCCCAAATCTATATTTCAATTATTATTTGATTTAATCTTTCTTGAAGTTACTAACGTGTGTATTGTTTTGATAGAAAGAAGTACGAGGCATCAAAGTGAGTAATTTAATTACTTAATTATTCTTTTGATTCTCAGAAATCATGTTAGGATGTTGAATTTGATTCCTAGTATCATATTAGGAAGTTGAATTTGATTCCTAGTATTATGTTTAGGGTGTTAACTAGTATTTCTAATATCATGTTGGTTTATAGTATCATGTTTAGGCTAAAGTTATGATTTTTATTAGTGACATGCTAGGGTTTATTATTAATCCGTTTAGTATCATGCCTAGGATCTTGCTATTAATCATGTTTTGATGAGATATCGATTAAATTGATTATGATGATGATTGTTGAGTCAATTATACATTACTTGATTATTCATATTTTATTGTTATTGCTTGATCACGCCCTTTCTTGCAAGTTTAAAGGGAATTTGTATTTGAAATCACGCCTAATAAGATAATTGATAATCTGATTTTAGGCTTAATATGATTTTAATTCAAGTGATTGCCAATAATAGATTTATTTGTGCATTAATAATCAACCAACGTAGATTAAACAGGTTTAGGGCTAACTTGTTGTATGTATGTTGATCGGAAAACACACATGAATATCATAAGAATTAATTAGAGGCCGATTTAAGGCAGGTTCAATCTCTTTTAGGTTGGCTTCATACCATCATCCCTGAATATCCAGTCATGGTTCCGGACCACTATGAAATTAGCGATCTCCGTGATTGTGAATGGGGTGTAACCTTCACACCCGTGAACGGTTTACAAGTTCCAAAACTTGTTGGCAACTCTTTATCTCTAGCTTCCTTCCCTTTGGACGCCACCATGCTTAAATGCATTATCACAGTGGGGCTCAAAATTGATGTTTGAAATATTCCCTACATCAATTAAATCCTACTTTCTCCATTCTTTATTACTTGTATTCCTTTTTAGGAAGTTTCTTTTTACTTGACTTGTTTCCTTATTTGGCAATTTTTACACTACACCTTTACTTATTTACCCTCACCTTTTTCAACATCATAACCCACCACATTCTTATCACCTTCCATCCTCTCTTACCTCAGTCACTCACCAAAACCCATAGTTTTTGAAACCACCTTTCCTTCCTCCAAGTTTTCCATGGAAACCACCGTACGGCACCACCACCTTATTTTTGAAACACCGCCAAACATCAATCACCACTCTTATCTCTCATCTTCACTGGAAAAAGCCTCGCCCCTCCTCCCCACACACATCACCTTTACCTTCACAACGTCACTGTAAACTGTGGAAGTGTTCAAGTTTCTCAAAATTAAGGCCATGGTGGTCGAATTTGGGAGGTTATTCCAGATTTGAAACCACCATAGTCAAATTCGACCTACAAACTCTCAATTCTTACAAGCTTGCTCAAGTATTTGACGGTGGTTGGTGGTGTGGATTTTTTCACTTTTCTCTTGTTTTTTTCTTTTCTGGTGGTATGGAATGGACGGTGGTGGTTGTTAAAGGTATGCACTATTTTTGTGGTGGTTATTGGAGTGTGGGTCTTGTCTCTCTCCTCTTTACTTTGCCACTTGGCAGTGACTTGGACGGTGGTGGCTATTTTCGGAGGTCTGGATGGCGGATGTCGTAGCGAACCTGGCGACATAGGTGGTTGTGGTGGTGATTGGGTAATGGGAACGGGGTAAGGGTTAGTTGGCTGAGGTAGTGGGCAAGAGTGCATTTGTCTTTCGACATTATTTACCACCCTTCCTTGATATGTGTGCCTAAAACTAATAGGTCATGTAAAAAAAACAGAGGAAGTACATTTTTTCTCTCCTTACTACTCCACCTCCCCTACTTTTTGTTTTCTTACAATATAAAAATACAAAAGAGAATCCTTTATATTATAAACAAATGTTTTAAATGAACCCACTTGTAATTTTCTTAAACTACGTGTCCACCCCACCGTCCCAAGTATATGTGACGGACCGACTCGACGACGGAGGCAGTATTGTGGAAAGCTAAACGCCGCCCTCGAATCTCCAACTAACGCCTGCAAAATAACCTAAAATTACTTACTTATGCTTATTATAAAAATAATTAATTTTACCTCAACTTAACATTTTTATCCTACACAAAAATTTTAACCGTTCTCTCTAATGGTCACCGGCCACCAACGATTATCGGTCAACCATCAACCACCGTAATTTTCAAAATCAAACAAATTATTTAAATTTTGCAAAATCAAATTCCTTGGATCTTATGGACGACGATAAAAGATCGGAAACACCACCTATGATGCTCATCGGAGGCTCGTCGGACCGTACAAATTCGGTACGTCTATTAATTTTTTTTTTTGTTTTCGAAATTCCCAGCCAAACACCTAGAATTTTCGAAAACCGTTGGCTAAACTGCCTGCCTAGGGTTTTCGAAAATCCTGGGCGTTTGCCTGGGAATTTCGATTTTTTTTTTTTGGATTTCACGCATTTGTTATTATTATTGTTATTAGAATTATACTTGATAAACTCTCTTAGCATTATACTTGATAAAGTAATGTTAATCTCACAATTTTAATATCAATTACCCTATCACTCAATAATATAATCTTGATAAAATTAGAGTGTTATAAGGTTAAAAAGTTGTGGTATTGTTGAAAATAATTAAATAGTTTATAAATAGTCGTGTGTTATTATTATTATTATTATTATTATTATTATTAGTTGTGTTTATTGGTTCTCAACTTTTATTAATATTTGTTTTTATTATTATTATTATATTGGATTTGGAAACCGAGGATGGTGATGGTGTGGACTACAGCGGACATTTTTTGACAGACACTGTGTTTCTGAGTTTTGTGGATGTTGTTTTATGGGCACAAAATGTTTAATTTGTCGGCCGCTCGGATTTATGTTAGTGAAATCTTCTTACAAGAAGGAACAGAGTGGTCGACCGTATCGATATATGACTTGTGATCGTGGAAAAAAGAGCATGATAAGAGACCTGATGAACGCAATACGCAAGGACACGTGAAGCAAGGCAAACAATTTTCCCTTCAAACTCAAGGTTGAGTATGTCAGAGTACTAAGTGGTTGGAAGCCTAAACGACACTCACAACCATTCTTTGGTTGTGTATCCCGAGGGTCATCGACAAATCAGCCGTCTTAGTCCTGCTGCTAACAGGTAGTGCGTGACATGACTCAGGCACAGGTGTCGCCTCGGCATATCATGAGAGCTCTTGTAGAAAAGTTTCCCGAACACCATCCAAACATTAGGCATGTCTACAACTGTAGGAGTAACATCAGAATGGAGCGATTTGAGGGAAGAGAGGTAGTTCACCAAGCGCTTCATTTGGCCAGACAGAGCAAATACCTCACTTGGGTTATGACTGATGCCAACAATGTGTTGCAACATGCTTTCATGGCACATCCGATCATGACAAAATATTTTTATTTTTTTAATTTTTTTATTATTATTATTTTTCATAAATATTACTGTGATATCTGATTTTAAAAGATTTTAGCATTTTCTAAAATTATTTAAATGATTTTTGCCAAAAAGAAAATTGAGAGGGACCATTTTTTTGTGGCAATGAGGTTGCCACCTCAGCAAGCCCTCTTTTCTGTTAAGATGATCAAAATATATTTTATTACTATAAAAAGGTCCTTTTTAACTCTTCTAGTTGTATTAATGTATTCTCACTATTTGAAATTATAGCTACCCTTCTCTGTTTAAAATATTTTCTTCAAACATTGATTAGAATGGTTGAAACTAATGATTTAACTGAAATTGATAATGTGGCTAATTGTAAAAGATGTTTGGTAAAGTCGATTGATTAAGGAGTTGAAATTCCTAAAATGATAAATAAAGGATTATAAATTTATAATGATAATAAATTTTTGTTCGGACATTACTCATCCTTGGTATATTTAGGGGTGAGCATAACAGGGTACCCTGTAAAAAATTTTCGAACCGGAACCGGAACCGGAACCTGTTGCAACAGGTTCCTCAAAATGGGAACTGTAACCAGAACCTATTGAATAGGTTCCTGGAAATTAGGAACCAGAACTGGAACCTACAGGTTTCGATTCCGAGTCAGGGTACCCTGTCTTGTAGTATACTTGCTAACTTTTTGCAGATTTTTTTAATAAAAAAATTGGTTGGTCACTAATTTATAATGTTTACAACTTGCAAAATAAACAAACTAATAGTAGTTGTCTAACAAATTTAATACTTATATTTATAATTGTGATTTTGATATTTATTATTTAAAAAAATAAGCTAGAATTGATGTATAATTTAAAATTAAGCAATACTTATAACAGGATACCCTAAAGATTCCGATTTCAAAAAATAAAGAACCTGAACCGAAACCTGTTGCAAAAGATTCTCTATTTTGCTATCCGGAACCAAAACCTCTTGTACTGGTTTCGGTTCCAAAACCTACAATTCCTAATAGGTTTCGGTTCCGACTCAGGGTACCCTAATTTTTTGCTAACCCCTAAATATATTCATAGCGTTTCTCCTCTAGGTTAATTTTTAACTAATCACAAAATGGTTATCTTGGTTACAAATCCTTACCATCACAATTCCCGTTTATGGTCATGGACTCATGGTAGTCATTGTTTCTACTATGACAACCCATCTAACCATCGCCATTTGCTGCTTATTGTGAGAAGTCAATTTTTCCATGTTTGCTACGTATTGTAGAAAGGCCGAGTGAAGTTGAGATGATACCTAATTGCCTCTGGAAGTATAGAGCGTCAAGTACATAATTGTCCATGAAACTATTACTACAAGTACGCAATAATTTTTTGACAATTTGTCAATCAGCCTTGTAAGCTCAAAAAGATCAAAAAATACTCCTTCCGTCCAAAAACAAGTCATATTATCTCATAATCACGCATATGCCAATGTCAAATCAAAAACCCTATATAAATATTTCATTCTTAGGATCATGGTAAAATCAACCACAACCAATCCACCATGTCAGTAATTCAGTACATATGACGACTTTTTCCAAACCTCCTACAAAAAATGGACAGAGAGTATATAGTATATACTGATTACTGAGATCTTGTTAATGCTACCTGAAATACCTTTTCAGTATCAGGCTTTGTTTCTCCATACTGTATCTCACTTTTGTGGCTTTCATGGTGTCAATTCTTGCTAGACATGTAAAACTACAAGTTTAATGTCACAGGGCCACAATGTTGATGATTTTTCTTGAGTATGTTCAGCCCAAAAGCATGTGCAATTTCTTATTCACCTGTATGCAATATTATTTGAAAGTTGATAAATAAAAGATGGAAAGCCAAAAAGGTATGCAGCAGCTAACTGATTCTGCTATTGAGGTTCCAAAACCCGACTTTACAAGATTTGAGCTAAGAGAACACCTCCTGAACTTGACCATCTGTTATAGCAGAGAAACTGGTCAGCCAGAGAGTAGGAAGGTTTTATATGGAATAAATTAGTAAAGAGTGCAACTCACCAGCAAGACTAACGGCAAAATTTGCTTGTGCATCTGCATCAGAGTTAAATTCCTGCAAATAATCCTTGGTCATGACATAGACATACGATGAAATTCATTGTGCAATTTGGCAAAGTATTCAAACAAATGGTTTATGTTCTCATCTCATCCACATATCTCATTTACATATTAGTACGAGCCAACGAAGATCCCACAAGTATATGCCCTAAGGGATAGGGTTGATCAGTCAAGATGTGCAATGTTAAACCTTAACCAGTTGAGAAATACAGGCTGCGAAACATTTATAATGTGAAAATTAGGTAAACAAATCTACAAAAAATAGTAGAACTATGCTTATTTCAATTCAATAAACTTTCTACTCCGCTAAGATGAGCCATAGGACCATATCTAAGCAACCCAAATACAAGAAGGTAATTCCTATCCAAAAAAAAGGTGATGAATTGTGACTTCTAAGATAATTTTTTTAAGAGATGATCCTGAAAGAAGTTAAGACACATTCAAGATAAACACCCCCCCCCAACAAGCGCAAAAATAAGGAAAAAGGAAAGGAATAGAGAGCGTGCCTTCAAGACCAAATTCTACCACTTATCGAGCTAATGGCTGCTTTAGTAGCAAATACTCAAAGGAAGATGAGAGTATCAACCAAATGAATGAATGCAATAGGTACAAGCAAGAGCAAAAGTAATAGATGTAAATCAAGTCATATGTTTTAAGACCAGTCCGTGGCAGCATACTCACCCTTAAAACATGACTGATCTTAAAAGAAGAGAACTTGTTCATCAGAAGCTTTGCCTCTGCATGCAAGGTAGACATATTTTCATTCTTGACTTTCCATAAACCCTGAAGCTGCATTTCAGAGGCAACGTCAAATCCTAAACAAATTAAGTACACAAAAAAGCAAGAATATGCATCAACAAGTCTCAGCAAATAAAGATCTATATGTAAGAAAAAGGCATATTTGCCCAAAAGCACCTAATAAATAAATAAATAATTTCGTGGGAAACCACCTTATAAAAATGAAATTTTTTTTTAAAAAGTGTGTTTAATTTAAGGTGGTGTATCACAAATATAATTTAATTTAAGGTTTGTTCTTACAAGTTTTTTTTATAAGGTGGCTTCCCACAAAAAGTGTATTAAGGTGATTTTTGGCAAATTTTCCTAAGAAAAAGGAAATTGCATGTAAGTTCAGCATGTTCATTATGACAAAGTAAACAACCAACAAGTTTCAAGATTGTGCGTAGAGCATCAATGTGTTGGTAAAAATGCATAGTATTTTATGTAGGACTGATTTTACAATGCAGAACATAAAACCAGTATTAAACCAATATTGAAGACCATAATAGATTATGGTTCTTATTTTCTTAATCGTAAAACAGAACAAAAAGTCTATCCTGGTGTATGACTACACAGGGTAAATACTATCAAATCTATCCTTAATTATATAGCTAGGATCTAAAAGATCACACGGTGCCTAGTAAAGTAATTTACCATTTCTGAAAGTTAGGAAAATGGTATCACAAAAGACGGACTAATAGCCCTTCTTCCTCTAGTCAATCAAGAAAGAGCAAATAAAAGGTATCAAGGATGACAGAATATCACTCTCCTTGAGGAATAACAACATGAAAAAAACTTGTTCTGCATAAGAAAGAGAGAAGGTAAAACCTGCATGCAGACAAGTTTGCTGTCACCTTGCGCTTGAATATTTGTATAACCCATCTCAAGAGCTTTCTTTAATCCTAAAATAACAGCTCGATATTCAGCTGCATTACAGGTGGCAGTTCCCAAGCCTTGACGTATTCTACAAATCTAGATGGATACTCAAATCAGTTAGAAAAAGTAAAATCTGATAACTAAAAACTCATATATATTATTAATGATATTAATTTTATACCAAGCTTCCATTTAAAGTACGAAGCACAGCTCCAGCACCAGCTTGTCCAGGATTTCCTTTAGAAGCACCATCAAAATGAAGAATACAGGTTTGCTGTAAATCACAAACAAGGGATCAGGTTTTACTGGAATCACTGCAACATCGAATCAATAAAGCACCATCAAATATTCCATCCCCGGATGATAAAGACAGTCTTGAGTTTTTAGAAGCAAAAGTGGACACATACGTGACCAAAGAGTCATAAACATGGTTATTGTTTCATACAAAGAAAAAAAAAAAAAAAGCAAACATAAGAACAAACAAATAAACAATGTCAGAGTTCAGAGCAATTCAAACATACTCACAGTATCAGAAGGCACACTATCCAACTTTTGAAGCTTGCTCAATGGATCGGTAGAGGTTCCAACATCCCCCTGCAAAATGAGAAGCACTTGTGACTTTTTGTACTGGCAATGTCAAGAAATTAGATTTCTTTTCACATTCAGCAACACACCAAAGCAGCCATTTGTGCTTCAACACGTCAGAATTTCCCCGGGAAGAAGGGGGCGTAAAAAAGAAAATTATTGATATATTAGAGCTCACAGCCAGTAATTGAGTAACAGAAAAGCGATGTAGAGTACAAATCTACCCCATTTTGATACATCTTTCTAATATAATGCTTAACAACCCCTGCTGCAGAAGATCACATGAAAGCTGGATTTTACAGTCTCCAAAGCAATCAGTAGGTAGAAAAACCCTTATAATATGACCATTTCTATCCAACTAAGTAATTCATAGCAAGGCGACTCTTCAAATTCTGTGAGTCATCATATGTTAGTCCTAATCTATAAAAACTTACCGCCTCAGTAACTGTACTCATCTAAACTTGTTATTTGGTTTCTTTCTGTAGGGACTTGCAAAACAACAGCTTACAGGGAACAGTTCCTGACAAGCTAGGAGCTTTAAAGAAGCTCCATCTACTGTAAGAGATTAAATCTTGCATACAATGTCGTAATATTCCCTCAAGAATTCCATCTTTGTGTGTATACTCTCTACTAAAAAAGAGGCCATCTTCAGGAACCTGGAAAAATAAATTAAGAGGGCCTCTTCCGCACTCTTTGAAGAAAGAGAATGTGATTCTCAAGTAATATTGAACAATGCCTTAGTTCTCTAGTTCATCAGCTAGTTGAAAACAAACCATTAACCTTGATTGTAATTTTGGCTCAGGATATCAGGAAATTGTGCCTGTCTTTCTCTACATCTGCTTGTAACAGTTCAGGAGAAGCTCCAATCGAGGCACCTCAATTTACTTTAATCCCTGAAAGGAAGCACAGAGGCCACACACATAAAGCCATCATACTTGGTGCAGTTATCGGAAGCATATGTTTGGTTATTTTGATTGGTTTGTCGGTGTTCTCATATGTGAGAAAGAAAACCCCAATGTTGAATAACATATCAAGTAAGCACAACTTGATTCTGAGCTCCTATTTCAGTACTTCAGTTCTGATTCTATTATGAACATCATGCCTTCACCCTAACATGGGTATTCTACTGTAATGCTCAGAGGAAGAAGCTGAAATCAGAAATTGGAATGCAGATAGAGTCTTTTCTTACAAAGAAATTAAAAAAGCGACAAATAACTTTAAGGGTGTAATTGAGCAAGGGAGTTTTAGATCTGTTAAAATTGGGAAGCTTCCTAATGGAAAGATGGTAGCAGTGAAAGTTCGATCTGATAAGACTCAACTTGGGGCTGATTCCTTTGTTAACGAGGTTCAATTTCTAAAGTGAACAGACGGAATTATTACATTTGTACTTGCTGCATATACAATATTCTAACTACTAACAGAGTAACAGTAGAGTTGCTTATAAAAGGTTTGTATCTGTTTTTAGGTCCATCTACTATCGCAAATTAGACATCAGAACTTGGTATCTTTGGAAGGGTTCTGTCACGAATCAAAGCAGCAGATACTGGTTTAAAAAATATTTGCGTGGTGGATCACTAGCTGACAGCCTATATGGTATGGCAGCAACATCAAAAAGCTTATTAAGGGTAAGCAAAATTTGTTTTTTCATTGGTCTTTGAATTACCAACTCTTTCACTTGGCCATGATCAGGTTCAAACAGTAAGAAATTCACCCTGAACTGGGTTTGGAGACTTAAAATTGGCATTGGTGCTGCTTAAGGTATAGTGAGACAGATGAATAGTTATAAGTTATTGTAGAAACTTGTGAATGAAAATTTTGCCCTAACCCCTTAAACAAACAAAAGATTTATCAAATCCCCACCCCTCCATCCCTATCCCTCCCTTTTTATCCCTTCAAACAAACACGCTGCAGTACAAGCAGGATTCATCCATGGGAATAAACAAGAACAAATATTTATATCGACAGCCATATTCCACAGAGAATCATGATAAGTCTATATGACATGATTTGTATCAGTCCACAAAGCAAATGTTAATGATATGCCTGCAATGTGAGAGAAAACATTTTAAAACAGCCACTGATCAATGCAGCTTAATGACAGCTAAAACTAACCACATTTCCAGCTCCTAGCACGCCATGAGGCCTCTTCTGTGGCAAATCAGCGCTGGATGTCTCACCTTTGGAAGATGTTGGTTCCTAAATAGCAATGGAAATAACACTATAGTTACAAAGCTAAATAGATTTGCATGAATAAAACACAAAAATTTTATTAAACATCCACCACAAGCACTTTTGAATGAAAACGGATCTAACCTGAAAAGGGCAAGGAACAAGTGTGCCAAAGAGATCATCTTTCAGATCAGAAGCTTTGATGGTATAGAGAGCATTGTGAAGCCCACGGGAGGCAAGATATTCTTCTGCATCCTTAGGCAAAGAATACCCTTTATATACACTTACTGGAGGATCTGATATCTGCGCCATTAAAAAGAACAGTATATTGACATTATTATACTCTCCATTGAGATGTCACAAAAGAATTTAGCAAAGCTAAAGATAAAATATGAAGATGTAAACTTTGTCCATGTCAAAACAAAGGGTACTCCATAAAAACAAAACTTAATTAAGTGAAGACAGTGCAAGGGAATACAATAAGACATTGCAACTTCAGAAATACTCCGTAGAAAAAACTTAATTGGCTACTAGAAAGCATACCCCCATCAAGGTTAAATTACCTATAACTCCTTTGTAAAGCATAATCCCACATCTCCAGAAAGCAAGCTACAAATACCTTATCAATATGTCAAAAATAAAGTGTGGATAGTCTTACTTAAGATACATGAGCAATGTATCCTTCATTATGCACATTTCTAAGTACGTTCTATCATTATTAGATTCCATGGTATAATGAAGGTTTACAAATCCCAAAAGCTATCCGCACTAAGCCACTAATAGCCCACTTAAGAAATCCAACACAAGTTAAAACCCCCAATTCCCCAAACCAGCTTTATCATTAAACTGAAGCCTTAGTGAAGTGAGCTTCTGATGCAAATGCATAACAGGAACAATCGATATCATGAACAAACAAGCTAACACAATCAGCTTTCTCTAAGACATAACTCATAATCAAGAATGCAAGCTATATTCTGTTAGCTCATTGTATCACACATTTCATGCAAGAGAGTTTAATGTATCAATGAACTCTGATTAAAAATATAAGCCATTTCCAAAAATATCAATACAAGACAGGATGGAGGATACCATTGCCTCGCAAATCCAGATTGCAAACTAAAGGCTCTTAAACCCACTCACCCCAAACCCCACCCCCTCAGAAGCAATTTCTTAAATAGAGTCCAACAAATTGCATTACAACACAAACAATCATTCCCCAAATAAAATATAAAACACAAACTAGTATAAATCCTTCAAAAAATTACTGATAATATTGAAAATTGAAAACAAGGGCAAGTAAGAAAATCACCGAAGAGCTAACTTGAGCTTGGCATTCACTCAAATTCTTATAAACACCAACAACATCCCCCTTTCGGACCACGAAAAACGCATCCTTCTCCATCTCCACTACCGGTTCCGGTTCCAGCTTCGATTTTCGCTTCGTGGGAGACTTCCTCTTAGAAGAAAAACACTGGATTGCACCAAACCTCTCGAAAACAGACGATGAAGAACTCAAACAGATAGAATTAACAAGTGGGTGATTGGAACTCCTTTTCCAAGACAAATTGGAAGAAAAACAACTCCCACACAATGTAGAAGAAGTAGTACCCAGAATAGAACGAGTGGATTTGAGTAGAATAGAAGCAGTAATTTGGGATAACAAGCTATTCATTAGAATGTATTATACCCACCAAAAAATGGGTGGTTTTTTTTGACAGAAATTAGCATAACCCACAAATGGAAGAAGGATGGGGTGGCGGCAGAGATGGGTTTCCGGCGGCGGAAATACGGCGGAAACAGGGTTGGGGTTGGGTTTTTTGGTATTTCTAGTTTTAACGATGAAACAAGGTATACGAATACGATTCATCTGTTTTACTGTATTTATTTCTTTCCCTAGAATGACGGAGCTGGAAAATAATGAAAAATTTGATAGCAAATAAATTACTCGTATTTTGGATGAGATTAGGATGGGATATTCAACCTAAATAACATTCATTATTTTAGAGTATGAGTAAAAAGTTTAAATTGCATGACATTTTAAAACAAAATTATTACTTTAATCGTAAATTGGCTAATTACGGGTAATTTTTTTTTTTTTTTTTTTTTTACAATAACAAAAGGAATGTCATTAATATATATAGTCAAACAATGTAAGTATGTAACACTTACATATAATTCCTAAAAAAATAAGAATTCTAGCAAGATCGTCTTTGGAAATTTAGAGGCCATGTGCTAAAAACAAAATTTAGGCCCTATTATAACAAATTTTATACTCATATAGTCACCTTAAATACAATGATAATTACAAAAATTGAAAAACCGAATAATATCAAAATTAGAACATAAAAAACAAAATAGATACATCCTGGATTTTAATTGACGAAGGAAAGTCGTCAACGGCAAACTTAAAGAATTCATTTGCTAAAAAAAAAAAAAAGGAATTGAGAGCTTAATTCTAAAACTATAAAAAAAAAAATAAAAAATTTAAATGATTGATAAACAATATTATTTTGGGTCGATTGTTTGAGACATTGAAATAAATAGTTTAATAGACGTGATATTGGATGGTTTTTTATTCTCATAATGGGGTGGGGGGAAGAATCAAGTTAAGGAAATTAGTCATGGGAAGATGAGAGTGATACTTAGGGGCCGTTTGGTTCGCAGAGGGGAATCGGAATGGAATGCAGAAAGGAAATGAAGGAGAATGGAATGAAACCCTCAAAATTAAGCATGTTGTTTGTTTACAAAAAAAAGCTAGGGAATCACACCACCATTGCACCACCACATCACCACCACAACACTCGTCCTTCATTTTTTCCACCTTCTCCAGCCACCCCACCGCCCAACCAACAACCACCCCACCGGCCGCACCTTACCCCTAGACCTCAACGAACTGTAGCAATTACCTCGCTTCTCCACCACCTCACCATCAACACCAGCACCGTTCATCGCCCACAAAACAGCAACCTCACCACCCACCACCAATCCCAGCCCCGCGCACAACCACAACAGCCTTCACACCGCCAAGCAGCCACCTTCGCGCAAATTATCTCAAATCAAACTCCAATGGGTAGAGCGGTGGCTCCATTTCACGAGTTTAGATTGCTTGGAATTAATGAAATTGGACGATTTTGATTAATTCAATTAATCCAACTGTCGTTTTTTTGTGATAATGATGATGGTTGAGTGGTGAAGATCGCAAAGCAACCAAGAGAAGTAGGCGAAGGGTGGCGAGGGTCGGGGGAAGGCCGGCGAGCATCCGACAAGGGGCAGCGAGGTTCGGCGAGGTGCTATTAGCCCCGGTGAGGTGGTTTAGGGTTAAGGGGTATGGTGGTGGTTGGGGAAAGGAATGGGTAAGGTGGGGGGGAATGGGAGTAGGAGGATTTTGGGTAAACCCAAAAATAAAAAGGGGGAATGGGAATGACAAAAGAGGGAAAACAAACACCAACAAAGGTAATCATTCCCATTCCCTTTCCACATTACAGCGAACCAAACGACCCCTTACAAGAATTAATTGTATTTTGGAGAAAAAGAGATTAGAATCATTTATAACCTTGGAGAATTGTAGAGTTTGTTGAATTGTTGTGTTGGTAATGGTGAGCATTATAGCTAGAAGCTATTAAGGGGGAAATTGAAAGAGTTTTTTTTTTTTTTTTTTTTGGTTACTCGGTAAAGTTTTTATCTTTTGGGCCCCGAAATTTTAGGATACCTGTTATGTGGGTCAGAAAAAAACCATCCAAGAGACGGGCCAAAATTCTAGCGCATGTACATAATACCTTAATACTGAGAGTGAGGGATAGCTCAAGTGATTGGAGCTTCCTTCCCGGTTCCAGGAGATCTTGAGATCAATTTTCATCATTCGCCCTTGTGGCTCTCTAAACACCAAAAAAAAAAAAAAAAAAACCTTAAAATTATCATGTGCTACTCTGCTCTATATGATTTTTTTTTATTATTTTTTTATTTTAAATAATTTTTTAGGGATGTATCTTATAATTGGTGATACATGGTTATTGCTTTTATTCCTTACGAGTGATTTGATTATACGGGGTAATTCTTGTTAAAAGAGTAATTTTATATGTAAAAATTAGGTAATTTTTATTCCGTTTTAAAGTAATTGTTAGTTTTTTAAGGAAACTATCTCCCCCCTTCCCCCAAAATTTTGCAAATTTTAATTTGTAAAATGCTTTTAATACATGTTTATTAAAGGTTAATCAACAAGATAGAAGGGATGCAGATCCATAATAGGCATATAGGTGTACTAACTACTTGAACAAAAAACTAAGGTGTATAAATCATACATAAAATCAATAACCATCACCTTAGTCCAAATAAATGTAAATCGGCGGCAGCCAACCCCTCTAGCCCCACACTCGAATTCACCCCTCCCCCCCCCCCCATCAAAAATGGACCCCTCCCCTAGCCCCACTCGAAACCCCCTTGAAAACCTAGATATCGGTTGGTGGTTTTGGGGGGGAAGAGATGAGGTTGTGGTGGTTTCGGCGGAAGAGAAGGGGTGAATCGGTTGTTTTGAGGGAAAAGGGTGGAGTTGTTTCAGGGGAAGGGAGGGGTGAATCGGTAGTTTTTGGGGAAGGTGTAATAAATTTTAACCCGTCACCGATTATCTAGCCTAATAAAAGAAAATACACCCTAAAGTTGGAATTATTCCCAAATAAGTAAAAGTTGAGATTATAAAAAGAAAATCGTACAAAGTTGGGATTATTAAAACCAATTTTTCCTGAAATACATAATTAAAGATTAAAAAAGCGCATTGAAAGATGTAAGAAAAAAAATATGGTTGGATACAACGAAAGAAAACAAAGGAAATATGTACTTCTCTCCGTTTTTGTTTGATGTATCCATTATTTTTGAAACATATGTTTGTATGAGATAAAGGTTATCTAGTAGGGTTGATTAGATGTTGATTTCCAAATTCCAAATACGAAGTAGTGTATTAAAATTTGTTTGGGTCCAATTTAGTCCAATTGGGCCTAGGCATTAAATGATCCAATTAAAAGCCCAAGGTCAAGGTTCAACTCTCCAATTGTGCTAAAGTCAATGGTCAGCCCTCAAAGCAAGTCAATTGGGCCAAGGCCCAACCTATCCATTTATGAAGAGGTATAAAAGCCTTCAATATTCATACATACATATATACATGTTCATTCATACATTCTAGGAGATGACACAAAAGCCTCAAGCAATAAACTCTCTTGCATAGTGTTCTCTTTAACACATTGTACTGACTTTAGCATCGGAGGGGCCTTCCTCGGCAACACCCCCGAGGCTAGTTTACGTGTGTTTACTGTGCAGGAAACCTTCGGCCCAACATACATTGGACCGAATCCAGTCTTCTCCTTCAGTGGACCTTCGGCAAGGTCCCATTGTTTTCACTCGAAACAATTTGGCGCCGTCTGTGGGGAAGACTTTCAAAAATCTTTAAGCCAATTTTGATCATCTTGCAAATATCTTAGCAGCAATGGCTAAGAACCGCAAGAGCAAAAGCCTCCGTCAAGGAGCGGGCGAAAAGCCTAAGACTCCTACACCATCACCTTCGCCGGAATGGAACCCTCCCATGGGTGCCAGCTCGGGGGGAGGATCATACAGGGAGGATTCCCTTCCTCCCGTAATTCATAACTCTCATGAGAGGCCGAGTCACTCTCGGTCTAGCAGGGGTGAGTCCGATCATAGGACACATTCAGTGCCCCAAAGCCAACCATCAACTGTGCGCTGTCATTCCCACACTCAGCCAAGGACCCCTTTGACGGGGCCCAGCTCGGAAGAGGTGGCGAGAGCGCTGGCAGTACTCATGGAGGCGATGAGGGCACAAAATATGCCACCACCTCGTGATCGAACTCCTCCGCATACCCGGCATCAGCGGAGGAAGTTAGACCATGATGGTGGGAAGCTTCCTTCCTTCCGGGAACTGGAAGAGTGGGAGGAGGATTCCTGGAAAACTGAAAAAAGAGGGGAAAAAGAACCCTCAATTTTTCAAAGGATCCTCAACCTCCCGACCAGAAACGCATAAGAGCAGCAGCTCAGCTTCTCGGCCAGAATCCACTCACCGAGAACCTGAGACTGTTCGCCGAAGCGTCCTCGACCGACTCGGCGGCAAGGAACCGAGCGTGCGCAGTCGCCTCTCGTTCCCTGCAGCCGAGGCCCAGACTTCCCAGCCAGGGACGAAAACCACTTCTACCTCTCTAAGAGGGCGGAGCGCGGTCCCTTCGGCCAGGAACAAGGGTAAGGCCGTTATGCTTCCCGCCAGTTCACCATTCGAGCAATGGATACTGGAAGAGCGTGTGCCCACGGTTAAAATACCGTCGCACATCACATATGACGGGACCTCGGATCCTAAGGATCACGTGGCCTCGTATGAGACTCATATGCATCTTTGCCCCAGGTCCGAAGCGACTTGGTGCAAATATTTCCCAACCACTCTCAAGGGGGTCGCGCAAGCGTGGATCTCCAAGGGAGTGAAGCAGGGCTCCATAACAGGGTGGGATGATCTGTCCTCCAAATTCAGGAGCAAGTTTTCCACGGCTAATCGCCGAGAGAAGACTACTGCAGAACTCATGAGTCTGCAGCAGGGGGAAACTGAAAGCCTCCGAGACTATCTGACCCGTTTCAGTAACGAGTCATCCAGCGTCTCTCAGCTGGACCAGGGTCTAGCCGTTTTCGCAATGCAGAATGGCCTTCAGCCCGGAAAGTTCCTAGACTTCATGGTCATGCATACCCCGCAGACCTTGGAGGAAGCTCTTCATGCTTCGGATAAGTTCATCCGAGCTGAAGAATGGAACAAAGCGAGAACCCAACCTCAATTCGAGGGAGGGAAACAGAGACAAATACCCTTGTCTGAAGGCCAAGGCCATAAGGCAAAGGGAAAGTCAAAGGCCTCGGAGCAATCTTCGGCCAGCGACCCAAGGAAGGAAAGATCTGCCTCATACACAGGCAGATACGAGTCCTACACTCCGCTCTCTCTTCCACGCGCCAAAATTTACAGCGTGACGAAGGGGGAGCAGAGTTACCAAAAGCCGAGACCACTTCCAGAGTGGTATCAGCGAAAAAATAAAAATCAGTGGTGCGAGTTCCACGAGTCTTCGGGACACAACACTGAGGAGTGTATCCAACTGAAGGACCAGATAGAGGACATGGTCCGGAAGGGATACTTGAAAAAATATATCGCGGATCACCGCGATAAAAAAGAATCCGAGAAGTCAGCAAAGGACTCTCGGCAAGACCTTGACTTCCCCCGGAAGAACAGTAAAAAGCCGGAAGGGAAATTCCCTCCGATCAATGTTATCTCGGGAGGAACATATTCTCGGAGGGAACACAAGCGACACCTTAGAGCTTTGACTCACCAGGTGAACAACGCTGATATTCAATCTCCCCAGTCGCCGGTGCCGAACATGACATTCACAGCCGCTGACTGCCGGGGGATAGCGTTCCCTCACGAGGATCCGTTGGTGATCATCGCCACGGTGGCCAACCACGACGTCAGTAAGGTCCTTGTTGACGGTGGCAGCGGAGCAAACATTCTGTTCCGAAAGGCCTACAATCAAATCAAGTTGAAGCCCAAGCACCTTACGCCGGTACCCTACCCGGTATCCGGGTTCAATGGGGCATCAACTTATCCAGATGGGAAGGTGACACTTCCTGTCACCATTGGCTGCGACGAGGCAGCCAGGAACATCATGATTGAATTTTTGGTCATTGACGCTCCTTCAGTGTACAACGTGATTCTGGGGAGACCCATAATTCATGAGATCCAGGGGGTCGTCTCAACTTATCATCAGCTGATGATTTACGTCTCAGACGCCGGCTTCCCCGAAAGGATACAGGGCAACCAAAAGGACGCCCGAAGGTGCAACTACCTCAAGCCATCCAGTAGTCGCCCAGATGACGACAAGGATGAGGAGGAAAAAGAAAGAGAGCCAAGCACAAAAAAGCCGAAAGGCCTAAGTGCTTCGGCCCAAGGATCTGTGCCCAGAGAAAAAGGGCCCGAAAGGGAAAA